TAAGGGCCACTAAAAAGACAGAAAGTGACTTTTATATTAGCAAAATTAATGTTCATATACAAATACTACTCTTATTGTGGAGGAATCAACTATTTTTTAGTAAAAAATCAGAAAAGAATATTTACTAGCCCATTAGTTTTTAATACCTCCTTCAAAATCAGAGACATGTCATTCTAAAGTAAACCTAAGAGATCATTTGAAGCACAAATATTATCAAGAAACATTAACTTTACCACAAAGCATAGCAATCAAAGTGCTTTCTAAAATCCTATCTAATGCTAGCAATCATTGTATTATATAATCAGTTAAACCCCCAAAGTATAGGGAAAAAGCATATACTTGACCATTTTCAATCACAAGTTCTTTAGAGAATAAAATATTCTTTGAACAAAACCTCATGAGAACAAGAATTCCCTTTTCAATATATGGTCTCTCCTAGAGCTGTAACTAAATATTACTGAGTGGCAGAAAAACAAATCTCAAGAAATGATGGACTTAAAAAAATTTCATTGTAGAAAGCACAAAGCAAATCCTAATAATACCAATTTTAAAATGATAGCTCCCCTGCTTCAAGAGAAGCAAATATAAATACTCACAGTAATGACTAAAAGACCCAACCGGATATGTTGAGACTGATGGACTTTAATAAGCATAATCACCAAGCAACTTAAATTAGAAAGTTAGTTTTATTTAGTAGTTGATTAAATCTTTATTAAATTCATAGATTGTGAAATTAATAGTTCAATTTTAATCAAAACTTCTTAAAGTCAAGTTTGATAGTGTATAACACAGAACACAAAACTAATTTTGTTAAATCTTTAGATGTCCTATATTTAAATTCTATTAATTCTATGGCATTAAATATAATAACAATATGCCATTCATTTACCAATCATATCAAAATACCATTCATTTACCAATCAAATCAAAACCATACACTGAATAGGAGGAATTTCATTAATATAAAAGTAAAATTAAAGTCATCCGGGGGCATCTGCGTGGCTCAGTTGGCTAAGTGCCTGCCTTTGGCTCAAGTCAGGAACTCAGGGTTCATGGGATCGCGCCCCCACTTCTCCCTCTCCCTCGTTCTCTCTCTCTCTCTAATAAATAAATTAAATCTTAAAAAAAATAAAATAAATAACAAATAAAGTCATCTGTGTTTATATTTCTTAAATACCAACAACGGGCTCAACATACTTAGTTTGGACCTTTCCAAAATTATGTTCTATATTTTTTTTAAAGATTTTATTTATTTATTTGACAGACAGAGATCACAGGTGGGCAGAAAGGCAGGCAGAGAAAGAGGAGGAAGCAGGCTCCCCACTGAGCAGAGAGCCCAATGTGGGGCTCGATTCCAGGACCCTGGGATCATGACCCGAGCCGAAGGCAGAGGTTTTAACTCACTGAGCCACCCAGTTGCCCCCAAAATTATGTTCTATATTTATATTATATTTTCTGAAACAAACTATCACTTTCCAACTGGTTTATTAACATTTCATGTATCCTGATCCCCTCCAGCTCTAAAAAGCTTAGTTACACACTTAGTTATACTAAGTTATACACCTATTATTTTTAAGTCTCAAAACTTCCTGAAGCCTTTGTATATTATTAATAACACCTTGATCTCACTAGTAAACCTAGAGAGGAAAGTGGCTTTAATTTCTCTATTGCAATGCAACAGAGAAAATAAAGACTAAGACTTGAATAATGACCATGAACATGACCTAGACTGGAAAACAAGCTGTTACCTCAAAGGGAGAGAAAAATTACCTGTAGGTAATTTATGCTTCCCATCAATATTCTATAAAATACTGAAACTATTATATTCAAAAGAAATGTAAGTATGGGAAAGACACACTGAGGTACATGGCATCATGAGATATTATTAAAACAAAGTTTCATTTCCAAAAGCAAAAGGTAAAAGTTTCCTGTCAAGTCATTTCATCTTCAGTCAAAACCAATTATGAATTCAAAGCAAAGATAATAATAGCTAGCTTTGAGGGTGCAAAACTAGAAAAACTTGATTTTTTATGATTTAACATTTTTAATTTGACAGATAACTCGAGAAAATTTCTCAAAAACTTCCCCCCCCACCCCAAAGCCACTAATCTACTAGGGAAAAAAAAGCAATAAAGGAATATATATAAGAAAAATATATTTAGGAAAAGTGCTAGATTAATTTTTTATAAAAAAGAAAAACACTGTATTTACTAGGTAAAGTAACAGTATTTTCATTAAATAAAATTTCATTAAATAATTCTTAAATTTCATATTACAGCCAGGTAAAGTGAGAGAGAACAACAGTTCTAATCAGAAAACAGAACAAGTTAGAAATTTCATTATAGGGAAGGGGAAAAGAAAGAGGAGCAGAAGAAACAAAGACGGAAGAAAATAAGACCTAAAGCTATGGGTTTAAGAGATGAAAAATAGGAAAATAAGTTAGGTTGAAGCATATAAACTGTAGATCACTCAGGTGCAACCTGAATCATTAGCTCTTCAGCAAGGAGCTATTACTCACGGATCTGCAACAACATCTAGTAATCCATCAAGCTTTGCAGAAACAATTAGTCTTCAATCTTCTGTGCTATGATCAGAACAATGGTGCTTCATAGAATGAGGCCCAAATAAGCCAACGGAGATTGCCCATGAGCTATTAACTTGCCTTATTTCAGACCAATGTGCCAAATCGTAAAAGTTGAAAAAGAAAAACCTGTTAGCATCAAGTGAAATTTTTCATCACCAAGCACTAGTACCCTCCATGGTGAATTAAGCCAGTCTTCTTTTATTTGTATCTAGTCACTGGAATGCTAGAAGACCAAATTAGGGTTAAGTCTGTCAATTTATATTGGTGACTGTCTCCACTGTTGCACTCTTAGTTGTAACTCTGGCTAACTTTCCAAACTCCAAATACAGGGTCTATAACCAAATCCTTGACTCAGCTCAATGGCTCCAACATGGTTTTCTCCACCACTGATTCATGTCCTGAGCCAGGAGTCAAGAAGTAGAATAGCCCGTGAAATTTGGGGTAGCACGTGAGAGTGAATAGGCAGTAAGTATGTTACACAGAGAGCCCTAAACGTCCTTAAACTTGACATCCAAAGTACTCCAGCTACAAATGTAACCAAACACTGAACAATACTATCAGTCCCTGAATCAAAACACATGGAGTATCTTGGGTTGAATGAAGACCACATATAACATTAGATCATCTGAAAGTGATAGAGTTTAAATTTTATCCCATCACAACATGTCCATCTGGGCAGCACGGATTTGGCCACCGCTTCTTAATATATGCCAGAGTCTCCATCTTTTTTGACAAGGAGAAAAAATATTCATTTTCTTCAATAACAACTATCACCAAGAGTTGAAAATGAAGTAACCAAGTCTCTGCAGAAGGGATTCATGTGGGGACAGACAAAGAAGGCACAGGGTATTACTCTAGATTTTATGCCCTCCCTCTTGGGATTCCCAGTAAACTGCAGAATCACAGTGTGTTGCATCAACCAAATACATGCATCCAACAAACGTTAATGGAGGCAAGCGCTACAGTGGAATCTTCGTCTGTAAAGTAAAATGAATTATGTTAACCTCAATGCATTCACATTCTCTTGAGAGAGATAACACATGTCAGATTTGGGTGAGTATTATGCTAAACTGTGATGAAGATGTTAAACTAAGTATGAAAGAAACACAAAGTTGGGGGCAACCGGGTGGTTCAATCAGTTACGCATCTGCCTTCCGCTCAGGTCATGATCTCAGGGTCCTGGGACTGAACCCCACATCAGGCTCCCTGCTCAGCGCAGTGTCTTCTTCTCCTTCTCCCTTGCCTTTCCCCTGCAATGGTGCTCACTTGCTCGCTCTCTCTCTCTCTGCTCTCAAATAAATAAAAAAATTTTTTTTTAATTTTTAAAAAGATTTTATTTATTTCACAGAGAGAGAGAGAGAGATCACAAGTAGACAGAGAGGCAGGCAGAGAGAAAGAGAGGAAACTGGCTCCCTGCCAAGCAGAGAGCTGAATTCGGGGCTCAACCCCAAGACCCTGAGATCACGACCCGAGCTGAAGGCAGAGGCCCAACCCACTTAGCTGCCAGGCGCCCCCAAAAAAATTTTTAAAGAAAGAAACACAAAGTTGAGAAAAGGCAAATTTCTGACTAGGAGGATGGGAGATGGGAAAAGAGGAAATCATGGAAGGCTTCACAGATTGCAAGCTGTCAGACCAGGGCATTACAGGATAGGAGTTTACTAATGGAACAAAAGAAAAGAAGTTCAGACAATACAGGTCAAAAAAAAAAAAAAAAGTGAACAGCCTGAACAAAAGCAAGAAGACATGAAAATGTACAACGTGTTTAGGAAGCCAAGAGCACCCTAAGGTGCCGAAGCAAGAGAACAAGGGCAAGGGACAGAGAAGAAGCTGGAAGAGTTAACACGGAGCCACAAAGAAAGGGGCCTTAGATTATACGGCAAGAAGCTGAACTTCATTCTGAAAACAACAAGGAGACATTGATGGTTTTTTAATAAAGTGAGGATGACAAGATCAGATCAATATCTCAGGAAGACAAATGTGGCGATGGTGTGAAAGCTGGATTATTGGGGAATGGGAACAAAATGATAGGGTATGAAATTACTATAAAAGGGAGTCTTTGAAATCATTAGCTCTATTGATTATAAATCCTGATCCCCCTCTCACCTAGGTAACAATGCACCAAGGAAGGAAGGAAGGAAGGAAGGAAGAAAGGCAGGCCCTGAATAAATTCTAAAATAGTCTATAATTCAGTTTTTACTAATTCAATTAATTTTCCCACTTTTTCTAAAGGATAGAAGTTTTATTACATACATCTTTGTTGTAATCAGCATCTCTGGTTTTGAAATTTTATATCAATGGCACTAAAATTACTTTCGTGCTATTATCTCATGGCATGTAGTGAGGGGAAAAAATCCTGTTAAACATCAAATTTGACCCAATAAAGTAATTGCCATAGGGTTTTCTTTTTTATCCTTACCATTACAAGTTCTTCCTGTAATTCACTGCAACTTTTTTCATTATACTGGAGTCTCTTTGAAAGGTCTATAATTACTTTCTTATGTTCCTCGATCTCTTCATTTAGTTTCTTGTTTTTGGAGACATACTCTCTTTCTAATCTGAAAAATTAAAGTGTCAGAGCAGAGTTTTCAAATATGGTTTTATCAAGTCCTATTATACACTTTAACATGACTGGCAGATGTATTATCTATCAAGTTTTTGTGCCAAAGGCCACCTCTCATTTTTTCAAACAAAAAGGGTTGCATATTCTTAAATGAAAGACTTTAATGGAATAATACCTCACCCCTTTCATTAGCAGATATTTTACTAAGCCCGAGGTTATAAACAAAATCGATTTGGTTAGTGTTGATTTGGTCTCACCATTATTTTTTTTTAAGATTTTATTTATTCATTTGACAGAGATCACAAGTAGGCAGAGAGGCACGCACAGAGAGGAAAGGAAGCAGGCTCCCTGCTGAGCAGAGAGCCCGATGCGGGGCTCGATCTCAGGATCCTGAGATCATGACCCAAGCGGAAGGCAGAAGCTTTAATCCACTGAGCCACCCAGGTGCCCCTCACCATTATTTTTGATGAACAAAACCCACCTACCACAGTTCAATTAGCTCAGAACATGCCTCAAGACAGAAAACCGTTCTATCAAACAATTTTCAAATTAAACTATAACATTAGAAAAGGAACAAATGTTTTATTCCTGGATGTCCATGCAAATAAATATGATGGAAAATTAAAATCCAAAAGAAAGAATCATCAAAATTCATCCACATTCACTGTGAAAACGTATGAAATTCTTTACTTTTTGTTCTTTTTTAAGTTTTTATTTAAATTCCAGTTAGTTAACATACAGTGTAATATTAGTTTTAGGTGCAGAATTTAGTGATTCATTACTTCCATACAACACCCAGTGCTTCCTTAATGCCTTCCTTAATGTGCCTTCCTTAATGCCCATCCCCCATTTAACCCATCCCCCACCCACCTCCCCTCCAGGAACCCTCAGTTTGTTCTCTATAGTTAAGAGTCTCTTATGGTTTGTCTTTCTCTCTTTTTATCTGTTTTGTTTCTTAAATTCCACATATGAATGAAATCATACGGTATTTATCTTTCTCTGACATATTTCACTTAGAATGATAATCTCTAGCTCTAGCCACGTCATTGCAAACGGCAAGATTTCATTCTTTTTAATGGCTGAGCAATATTTCATTGTATATACCACCTCTTCTTTATCTATCAGTCGATGGACATTTGGGCTCTTTCTATAATTTGATTATTGTTGATAATGCTGCTATAAACATTACGGTAAATGCACCCCTTCGAATCTGTATTTTCGTACCCTTGGGTAAATACCTGTAGTGCAATTGTTGGATCATATTTTTAACTTTCTGGGAAATCTCCATACTGTTTTCCAGAGTGACTGCACCAGTTTGCATTCCCACCGACAGTCCAAGAAGGTTCCCTTTTCTCATCCTCACCAACATCTGTTGTTTCTTATGTTGTTAATTTTAGCCATTCTGACAGGTGTGAGGTGGTATCTCATTGGAGTTTTGATTTGTATTTTCTTGATGATGAGTGATGTTGAATATCTTTTCATGTGTCTGTTGGTCATCTTTATGTCTTCTTTGGAAAAATTCTGTATTCATGACTTCTGCCCATTTTTAATTGGATTATTTGTTTTTTGGGTGTGTTGAGTTTTATATGTTCTTTATAGATTCTGGATATTAACCCTTTATCAGATATGTAATTTGCAAATGTCTTCTTCCATTCCATATGTTGCTAACTTTTAGTTTTCCTGATTGTTTCCTTCATTGTGAAGAAACTTTTTATTTTAATGAAGTCTCAAGAGTTTACTTTTGTTTTTGTTTCCTTGCTTCAGGAAATATATCTAGTAAGAAGTTGCTATAGACTGGGGCACCTGGGTGGCACAGTCGGTTGGGCATCTGACTCTTGGTTTCAGCTCAGGTCGTGATCTCAGGGTTGTAAGATCGAGCCCCATGTCCGGCTCCATGCTCAGCCTGTCTGCTTGAGATTCTCTCTCCCTGTCCCTGTCCCTGTCCCTCTGCCCCTCCCACTGTGCTCTCTTACTCACTTTCTCTCTCTCTCTCTTAAATAAATAAATACATCATTTTAAAAAAAACAGAAAAAGAAGTTGCTAAGGATGATGTCCAAGAGGTTACTGCCTATGTTCTCCCATAGGATTTTGATGGTTTCCTCTCTCACATTTAAGTCTTTCATCCATTTTGAATTTGTTTTTATGTATGGCATGAGAAAGTGTTCCAATTTCATTCTTTTGCATGTTGCTGTCCAGTTTTCCCAACAACATCTGTTGAAGTGACTGTCTTTTTTCTGTTGGATGTTCTTTCCTGATTCGTTGAAGATTAATTGACCTTATATAGTTGTGGATCCATTTCTGGGTTTTCTATTCTGTTCCATTGATCTATGTCTGTTTTGGGGCCAGTACAATACTATCTTGATCCCTATAGCTTTGTAATGTAACTTCAAGTCCAGAATTGTGATGTCCCCAGTTCTGCCTTTCTTTTTCAAGATTGCTTTGACTATTTGGGGTCTTTTGTGATTCCATACAAATTTCAGGATTGTTTGTTCTAGCTCAGTGAAAAATGCGGTGGTATTTTTTTTTATTTAGTTTTCTCAGTGTTCCAAGATTCATTGTTTATGTACCACACTCAGTGCTCCATGAAATACATGCCCTAGGGATTGCATTAAATGTATAGATTGCTTTGGGCAGGATAGACACTTCCAATAACATTTGTTCTTTCAATCCATGAGATTGGAATTGAGATCTTTCCCAGTTGGAACTGAGTTCTTTCAATCCGTAAGAAATGGAATGTTTTTCCATTTCTTTGTGTCATCTTTAGTTTTGCCATAAGTGTTTTATAGCTTTTCAGAGTTCATTAGGTTTATTCCTAGGTATCTTATGGGTTTTGGTGTAATTGTAAATGGGACTGATTCCTTGATTTTTCTTTCTGCCGCTTCATTACTGGTGTATAGAAATACAACAGGTTTCTATATGTTGATTTTATACCCTAAGATTTTACTGAATCTGTGTATCACTTCTAGCAATTTTTTGGTGGAGTCTTTCAGGTTTTCTACATAAAGTATCATGTTATCTGCAAATAGTGAATATTTGACTTTGCCAATTTGGATGACTTTTATTTCTTTTTGTTGTCAGATGGCTGAGACTAGGACTTCCAGTACTACATCAAATAACAGTGGTGAGAATGCACATCTCTATCTTGTTCCTGACTATACAGGAAGAGCTCTCAGTTTCTCCCCATTGAGAATGATATTAGTGGTGGGTTTTTTCGTTAATGGTCTTTATTACGTTGAGGTATGTCTCCTCTATCCCTACTTTGTTGAGGGCTTTTATCAAGAATGGACTCTATACTTTGTCAAATGTTTTTTCTGCATCTATTGAGAGGATCATATAGTTCTTATCCTTTCTTTTATTAATGTGATCTATCATGTTGATTGATTTGCGAATATTGAACCACCCTTACAACACAGGAATAAATCCCACTTGATTGTAGTGAATGATTCTTCTAATGTACTTTGGATTTTATTTGCTAGTATTTTCTTGAGAATTTTGATATCCATGTTCATCAGGGATATTGGCCTGTAGTTCTCTTTTCTAATGGGGTCTTTATGTGGTTTTGGAATCAGGGTAATGCTGATCTCATAGAATCAGTTTGAAAACTCTCCTTTCCTTCCTATTTTTTGGAATAGTTTGGGAAGAATAGGCATTAAGTCTTCTTTCAACGTTTGGTAGAATTCCTCTGTGAAGTCATCTGGCCCTGGATTTTTGTTTGTTGGAAGATTTTTGATTACTGATTCAATTTCCTTGTTGGTTATCAGTCTATTCAATTTTTCTATTCCTCCTTGTTTCAATTTTGGTAGTTTGTATGTTTCTAGGAACTGATCCATTTCTTCCAAATTGTCAATTTGTTGACATATAATTTTTCATAATATTCTCTTATAATTGTATTTCTGTGGTGTCGGTTACTTTTCCGCTCTCATTCATGCTTTTATTTATTTGGGTATTTTCTCTTTTCTTCTGGATAAGTCTGTGAGGGATTTATTAATTTTATTAATTTTTTCAAAGAAACAGCTCCCAGTTTCATTGATCTGTTCTACTGGGGGTTTTTTGTTTGTTTCTATATCATTTATTTCTGCCCTAATCTTTATTATTTCCCTTCTTCTGCTGGCCTTAGGCTTCATTTGTTGTTCTTTTTCTAGTTTCTTTAAGTTTAGGTTGCTTATTTGAGATCTTTATTGCTTCTTGAAGTCGCCCTGTATTGCTATACACTTCCCTCTTAGGACCGCTTTTGCTGCATCCCACAGGATTTGGACCATTGTGTTTTCATTTTCATTTGTTTCCATGTATTTTTTTTTATTTCTTCTTTAATTTCTTGGTTGACACATTCATTCTTTTTCTTTAACCTCCATCTGTTTGTGGGCTTTCCAGATCTTTTTCTTGTGGAACACTTCAAGTTTCATAGCATTATGGTTAGAAAATACGAATGATATGATCTCAATCTTTTTGTACTTGATGAGACCTGATATGTGACCTAGTATGTGATCTATTCTGGAGAATGTCCCATGTGCACTTAAAAAGAGTATGAATTCTGCTGCTTTAGGATGATATGTTCTGAATGAATATAACTGTTTAGATCATCTGATCTAGTGTGTAATTCAAAGCCATTGTTCCCCTGTTGATTTTCTATTTAGATGATCTGTCCATTGATGCAAGTGGGGTGTTAAGTCTTCTACGATTATTATTACATTATTATGAACTCCTTTATGTTTGTTATTGTTTTATATATTTGGGTGCTCCCAAGTTGGGAGCATAAATACCCACAATTGTTAGATCTTCTTGTTGGACAGACAATTTTTTTGATGTAATGCCCTTCTTTATCTCTTGTTACAGTCTTTGGTTTAAAATCTGGTTTGTCTGGAGGTGCCTGGGTGGTGCAGTTGGTTGAGCATCTGACTCTTGGTTTCAGCTCAGGTCGTGATCTCAGGGTCTTGGGATAAAGCCCCACATCAGGCTCTGAGCTCAGCTGGAGTCTGCTTGGGATTCTCTCTCCCT